CAATGGAGGAACAGGCCTTAGTGGCCCAACCAATAAGACTACATTCTATTCCTATTTGCTTATCTTTCATTCTGGTACAATTCGGACCAAATTTTCTTGTTTTATCCATACACAGTAGGTATTTATATTTAGCCCATGTTTGATTCCCATTGTTTTGTCACAAAAATAAAAAATATGACCATTATCTATTACATTAAATCACTATATTTGACTTTCCATATCCTATGTGAATTCCGTAATGACTATATTTTTCATTCTCATTTTTACGAAAATGAGTACCAAACGGGAAAAGTACTAAATTGAAGATTTAAGATTAAGGTGTAAACGTAAATGAAATTGTCTAACCCGTCTTATTTAGACTAATCAAAGCATTAAAATTCGAAAAGCAAGTTGCAGTCTACTTAGGCCTCGACTTTCGTCTTCTCTTGTAATTTTTCATAGAGAAATAACTCAAATGAAACTAGAATAATGCTATTCATATATATATATATATATAATAAAAAAAAGGGTTGCAGAAAGTTTTATATATTGATGAGTTATCAAAAAAAAAGTGAGGAAGTTTCTTCTCTTTTTTTTAAAGAACTTTTGATCTAATCATATCTTATCACATCACCATATATATATATGGTGATGTACACATAACACAATAGATAAAACTAAATAAAAAATGTCGACCCAATGGCCCGCCGGTCCAGAATGGCCGAGTTAGGCCAACTAAAATCGCTTGCCAACTACACTAGACACTCGAGGCCAAGGACATGCTCAATTTTTCAACATTTCTAATGGAAATTGCCCATAGGATATCGAATAATAAAACGATAAAATCGATAACAAACTTGATAAAGTCAACCATTCTTTTTACAAATTGCAATGAAGAGATGGCATTGCCATTGGCACTACATACGTGATCAAAGCAAACAAAAATCAGTTAAACCAATCCCAGATTGATTTTGGTTTTACAGTTCAGAGGCATTTCACTGATTCTTGAGATACTGTCGAACAACAGAAGCATGAATTTACAATCATCAAAACAATTTCTTATCAGCTCCACATTTCCCCATATAAACACGAGCGACTGAACGGAATATGAGTTCTAAGAGAGGTTTCTTAATTACTATTTATTTATATACTGTTCTTCCCACCAAAGATTTTGCTGCTGGAGTATGACTGTATTTTACACGATATTTATACGAACGAAGGGAAAGGTCGAATTCTTCCTTGATTACGACGCGGAACACAATGGAGGAACCGTAGTCAGGAACTTGTATCCGCATTGAATATAAGTTCATTCCTGTATATAGCACAGAACCAAGTTCCGAAAGAGTCGAATCAGGTAACAAGAAGGCTGCAATGTGAATAACACTATCTCATTTCATGGAAAGATCATGGTATCTAGTTTTCATAATGCTTCGAGGCATTAACTGGGTCATGCTCAGTCGACAAATTTATTTATTTATTTTTCACAAGTTTGCATTAGTTCTATTTTTTCTATCTTTTAAGAATAGGCATACGCAGGCTGCAGGCCTAAAATAACCAAGCCAGGCACAATGTGACGATAGAGGCGGATCAGCCCACAGCATGGTCCTGTACACTTTAACACCACCACTGATACTACCATTAAATGATACATGATATAACTCAAACTCACATTTTGGTGTGGAGGTACTGATCTACCGTGAGAGGCTTTGGACCGCCATACCAATTAATCAAAAATATATCTTCAATATCTAATTTGAAGATCTGGAACTTGTGACTCTTAGGCCATCCTGCCAATCACGAAAGCAAAACAATTTTAAATGTCATTTTAGGTAAGCATGTGCATATGAAGATATGAATTTTTAAGTTAGAAAATGGCAGCTCATGACACATTGCTGAATGCTGAGAAAGAAAATGAGAACATTGGTATGCATTTACCTTTCATCTCAGAGTGCTTCGAGAATAATGCAGTTCGAGCAAATTCAGTTTCCTCAGAATCTCCATCAAGTAATTTTAACTAAAACACCACACAAAAAAAAAAAGGCATAAATTCTATTGGTTTATCAATCCACAAAAAGATTCATTTGCTGTCATTATTTATCCAAAAAAAAAAAAAAGGATTCATTTGCTGTCACTCGAACATTTGGCAACACGAGACGATATAATCAGGAATATTGAGTGCTTAATCTTGATTATTTTTCTCAACACCTATACACAAATCAACCACTATGATGCATTTAACAGCTTCAAGTATGCATGAAAACTGAAAAGAATACTTTAAGAAGTTACTTATAAGTTACTAGTCAATAAGTAAGTTTCCAAATATAATTTTTACTCGTGCATCCAGCTAAGTCTACATCTTGCACTCATTTATGACTATAAGCACAAAATAGTGCACCTTTGAAGAATATAGAAAAGATTAAGGGGACAAAACTTCAAAGAAGAGTGACAGAAGTAAATCTTTTAGAGAGCAACATATATTATTACATCTTTAAGTTAAATATTCAATCATAAATCTACCTTTCCAATGAGTGTAATTTTTGCGCAAGTTGGGTTCTCGGGATCTTTCTTCCCACAAGTTCCAAGATTATATTCACTTAACGTTAAGGAAGATCTCTGGTCTTTCAATGCATTGCTTGCAGTTGGATCAAGGGCCGTTAGATAGAAGTATGGAATACCTTTGCCTTCATCGGGTATACCATCACTAAATGAAACTACGTTCCTGCAGAGTATTATAGACATTTCATCAAATATAAAAATAAAGAGCACGAGAGTAGTAGAACTCTAGCCAACTAATGCAAAACAAGGCACAGAAAAGCAAGGGTTTTGAGCTATAGGACTGTTGAACTATCTCATCTAAAAGTTTATGCTATTAAAAACAAGAATCATTATTCAATTTAAACCCTAGTTTGGTGGCCATTCTTTAAGGAAAAAAGGAGTTTTGAATAGTTTTTTAGGAGAATGTGTGGTTAAAAAAGTAGGAAAAAAGTTTTACAATTACGTGCAGTATATTTTATTGTGTGAACATGAGATTGAAAATGACACTGGAGAAATTAGAGTTCGAAAAGAATAGGTATCAAACAAGAGCTAAATTTAGTCTTCAACATACCGTTTCACATGCATTTATCAAAAGGTTGACACGTGTATAATTTTAATGAATGGTAAAGCTACAAATTAGGGAGTTCTTGAAAAGCCTACAACCCGGAGTTCGTTCACCATTCAAGCTCAAGGATTTCACCATTTCATGAATAAGTACGATATTTGTCTCCAACCAATATTAAAAGTAGGTATTTCCATAATTGTTCTATTGTAGTCAACCTTGGAGGTCTGGTAAACTCAATATCAAAGTTCATAAAATTCTATATGCACCAAAACCAATACCGGTTTCAATAATTTTTATCAATTAAGTCTGAGTTATATTTTTTATATACTTCCACGTCTCCTGGACACAGTTAAGTGGAGAACGAGAAAGTACAAGTGTATAAGATGATACGGTGATATCATCATTGATACAACAACAACAAGTTGTGTAGCTTCAAAGAAAATTCCATTAGGAAGGAAAAACTGAAAATATCTCTTCACACAAAATAGGGAAAGCATGCAAGATATAGATTAGTTTAGACATACCCGAAAGGTGCACCTCCCCAGTCGTTTGAGATAGTGCTGAAACAAAACCGATGTCCTATTATAAGCTCGAGATTGATAGAACAGTTTCAGAACTTCAGATGAAATATACAAGTATCAGGTAATACAACATATATCTGTTCATCCATATTAAAACATTTTAATTCCATACCGAATAAAGGAAAAGAAAATTAAAAAATCTGTGGATCATAATAATATTTCTTGGGCAAGGATGAGGGATGTTTCTTTCCTTGTTTTCTTCTTTTTGATGGGCCACTGCTGAATTCTTCTTCTTTATCGTATGCATGGGTCCTAAAAATAAATCCTATTCATTTATTACACTTGATTGGGCTTTAAAAATAGTTTTCCTCCCCCTTTTTGAAGGTACCACATAACAGCTTTTTCATTGTTACTACTCACGTGCATCCCACTGAGATTCTTGAATCAAACCGTTAGTTTCTCATCTAGTTAACTTGTGCTTCTCAAATTCCTTCAAGTTTTTATACTTAAGTAAGTTACTATATAGTATCTTTTATTTTTACTCAATATATCAACGACTCAACATTCCCATTCCACTGCTGCGGTTCCTTGTTATGGTTGGTTACAACGTTTAGATTCTCCTAATACCTATGTGGCTACATTAGTCTCCTGTTTGAACACCATTTTTTTCAAAACTCACTTTTAAAACTCATTTTTAACTACACATTCTCCCATAAAATAACTTTACACTTAAATTCAAAAAAATTCCTTATTTTTTAAACCACACATTCTCTAAAAAATCAGTATTCCAAAACACATTCCTTTCAAAATGGGGCTTAAACAGGGGCCAACAATGTAGCAAGATGCCTCATTCTACAACAAGTTACAATCTCCAGTTAGATTTCATTTCAAATTCCATTCTTTGAAAGTAATAGGCAGTATCCTACAAGTTCCAATATATGTCGTTTTTCTTTTCTATTTCTCAATAAACAAGCCAAGCACCACCATATTCATGGTTAGCAATTCACAAGTACATAACAAAATATTAATGCAATAAGCTAATAACAAAGGACACGGTTACCAAGTTCGTGGAAGAGCATGCTTAACTAAATTAAAAGTTTTTTTTAAGTAACTTTCTTTTGCCAAATACATCCCAGATCTTTCAAAGTCACTTTCTCGTTTAGACCTCCAGTGCAAAATTTTACTTCTCTTGACGGTATGTCTTTATCTACTGTCAGAAAATGTAAATTTGTTTCTGGGCTTAACCAAACATGCTTAATAAGTAATTCTTTTATTGATTAAAATTCAAAAGGAGTATTTTTTTATTTTTTTAAAGAATAAACTAGTAAGAAAAAATTTACCTATCAAAATATCTTTGTGATACCTATTTGTATCTAAAATAGAAAGAACAAACCATGGTAATAGCTCATGATAACCTCGGATTCCAATTTGAGTTTTCTAGGATTTGAGACCTCCAAAGGCATAGAGATACAAAGTACGTTCTTCTCATTTCTTTTCCACCCACTAATTTCTAGAAAATAGATACATCTACCCATGGATACATACAAACTACATTAGTCAAAACTACTATCCTGATAGTAAAAATAAGTTACTAACAATTTATAAGCAAAAAAGTTACTTAAAAATAACTTTTATTCATTTCTATGTGTAGCAAAACATCCCAATATAGTTAAATCTACACATACGCACACGATCAACATAAATATGAAGATGTCTATGTGGGATCTAATCAAAAGAACTTAAAAGAGAGTAATACCTGAGGACGCCCCATGAATTCTGGCAGACCAACCACCGAGCAAAGTCAGCGGCATCATCCGGCCGCGGCCGGTCGAGCGACAGCAACAACGGGCGGCCATTTACGGATGCTTGAAAAATCCCCAAAACAAGGAATGATGCATGTAAAAAGTTAATAATTAATCCTTTAACTTTCATTATTGTTATCTACTTTCTGTAATGAACGGAGAAGGAGATGAAGATGAACTGCTGTTGACGACCTTTTCCCTGATATATATAGGAAAAAAATTTCTTTCATATGCAATTTTTAATGTTGGTAATTTTGTAAATTAATTTTTTGATAATATTTTTTTATTTTTTTCAATTTCAAAATTTTCAATATTCTTTACGTAACGGCAAGGATAACAGCAACAGCGGAGAACAAGGGGGCTATCCCCTGTAGTCGAGTGTACGGAGTAGGCTTGTGATCGTATTGTTTTCTTTGTTTTACTTTTTTCAAGGTGTGACCTGGTTTATATTTATATTTGGTAATTCGACAAATAATAATAATAATAATTCAATAGATGTGTAGCGTCATAAGGAATTTTTTTTTTTTTTTTTAATGGAATGTGGAGGTATAATTATTCCGATATTGTTCTTGTTGTCTTGTTGAAAAATGAGACTACTTATTTAGATAAAATATATTTTTATTATAATTTTAATTATATGATACCTTATTATTCATATATTTCGTGAAATTCACTACTCACTTTCATTACAAAATCCATTATAATTTTATCCAAACACTATATTACTTGATATGTTAATACGTTAACGAGTTGAATAGTTGGACTTGAGAAAATACTAAGTTCATGTTTGTTAAGGATTAAAATCTAAATTTTTTATTAAAGTTAAAGTCAACAATTATTCGTAATCACATTTTTTTTATGGAATCTACAACTTATTGTTGTCGAAAATTCGACTAACGCAATCAAAAGAAGAAATAAAATAAGCAGAAAAATAGACAGTAAATGAAGCGAGGTATGCCAATAAAGTAAGCAAATCTCCTTAAGACAGATTTCGCCCCCCCAATGAAGTGCAAACGGGATTATGGACGTCTGTCTCCCAAGATACAACGCTCCTTCCAAAGTCGATACTGCACAATACCAACCTTGTCGGTCGAACCAATGAATGATCGTACTTGAACGGAATAACGACGGAAGTATAAGAGATTTTTTACGAGCAGAATATGGAGATAGAAGAATTTAGAAATCAATTGAATTCGTAATTGATTTGGTGTGTCAAAAAACGAATATGGGGGTCCCTATTTATAGAGATTGAAGTGTCTCATGGAACAGGTGTGTGACATTTCAGGAACTGGTGCACCACTTGGTCTGATTCGTCTTAGCCATTGGATCGCACTATTTTTATGATCTGACGGCCCAGATTGAACCATGAAGTGAAGTGTCCATTCATCATGCCTATTCACCAATT